AGGAGGGCGGCTGTGCCCCGGCTGGGCAGCCACGCGCTGCGCTGGCACGGCACGGCGGGTGGGCACGCCATCAGCATGGGGCTCACGTTGTCCCGACGTGGGAGCCTGGCAGGGCCCCCACGGTCCTGAAGCCTTCCTTTGTGCCGGGCCAACCTCTGGCGCTTGGCATTCAGGTCGTGCAGGGGGGGAGTGAGGCGGAAACCAAGCAACCGAGTCCTTGGCAGTGCCCGCCAGCACGGGACAAATGCCCCTGGCTCAGTGGGAAGGACGGGCACAAAGACCTCCTGGCCAGCATGAGGGGCACTGCCAGGGCCACCTCCTGCCAGTTCCAGGCCACGTGCCACAGCCAGGCAGGAGGCACCCGAGGAAAAGGGGGTGATCCCTATGTGGGCACAGAGCTGCTCACACCCCTTTGATCCCTAAACCCCCTCTTCACAGCCCAGGGACCACCCTGAGCTTGATGTTGTGCTCCCCCTCTCCTGGAACTGGGGGTACATCCTGTCCCTCACTGTCCTCTTGCCTCCCTGCTGCCAGCTGAGACCAGCCAACTCATGTCACATATGAGCAGCCAAGGCTGCTTTTGGAGGGGGCATCCCAGCCTTGCTCTTAGCAAAGTCAGGGTGTGGTGCCTGCAGAGTGCCAGCACAACCCCAATACCAGCCCTCAGAGAGTCTCCTGGCCAAGCTGGCCATGCTCCCATCACTGGAGGCCCTTCCCCTCCCTCCACCAGCCCAGTCCGGTGCCTGGGGCACCTGGGCAGGGCTGGAGACTGGTACCGACTTTCAGCTGCCTGCTTTGGGCATGTGGGCAAAACAATCACTCACCATCGATCCACATTCACCTTATCTGCTTGGCTTCTTCCCACGCCCTGGAGGGCAGCCGGGCACTCCCACAGGGGCCTCCACCCCTTTGCCTCGGGATGCCATGCCTGTTCCCTCACCTGGCAGGCCATGCCAGTATGCCAGCTGCTCCCCTGACTCAGTTTCCCCACTTGGGTGCAAGGGGTTGGGGTACCAGCTGCCCTGACACCGCTGCCTGCTCCTTCTCCCCCAGATGTATGGGCGTTACACGCAGGACTTGGGCACCTTCGCCAAGGATGAGGCAGCCCGGCTGCGGCTGCAGGAGGGGGACACGCCCCGGCCCCGCCGCCCCTCCGAGCTGCTGGAGTACACCCAGGGCCGCTGTGCCCCCTGTCGTGGTAAGAGTCACGGGTGGGCACAGCCCCACGGTGGCACAGTCTGGACACGGCTGCCCATTCCACCACGGTGGTGCGGGTAGAATTTCTGTGGCTGTCATGGGACACCGGCGCCGAGGACAATGCCACCTGCCCGCCGGGCAGCAGGGACACAATGGCCTGAAATAGCCGGGCGCGCTGCAGGGACCGGGGGGCCCCAGCCCCTCTACCTGGGGCCATGCCAGGGAGGCTGTGCTGGTGGGAGGTGCATGCCCAGTGGTGCCGTGTGTGACTGAGCAGTCAGCTGGCTGTGACAGCTGGACACACAGCAGTGCTCCAGAACCAGACAGTACCAGCAGTGCTGGGTCAATGCTGCTGGTTGTGAGCCTTTCTGTTGCTGCCAGCCCGGCTCTGCCACCTCAGTGTGCCCATCCCTGGGGCACCCAGCCTTGAACCCGCCCTTGTGTCCACAGTCTGTGCCTTGCAGTGCCAGCGGTTCCTCATCTCCAAGGTGGGCGAGGACTGGGTCTTCCTCATACTGCTGGGACTGGTCATGGCACTGGTCAGCTGGGCCATGGATTTCGCCATTGCCACGTGCCTCCAAGGTAAGCGGGTATCAGTGGGTTCCTGGGGCCATGGCAGGGCAGAGTGGCTAATGCCCCAGGGACATGCCATGTGCCCTGCCACCCACCACCCATCTGGCCGGCTGTTCCCACAGCTCAGAAGTGGATGTACGGGGGCCTGGACACCAACGTGCTGCTGCAGTACATGGCCTGGGTCACCTACCCCACTGTGCTCATCACCTTCTCAGCTGGCTTCACCCAGATCCTTGCTCCCCAGGCCGTGGGTAGGGCATCAAGGGGCTGCCTGCACCCTAAACAGGGTGTCCAATCCCTGGGAGCTGTGCGCTGGGAGCTGCCTGGGTGTCTCCCTGGAGGTCCTGGGAGTCTTTCTAGGGATTTGGGCTGGTCTTCAGAGGGTCTGCTGGGGACTGTGGTTTGGATATCATCCTGAGCTATGGGGTTGGGGATCTCCTAAGGCCTGTGAGAGAGAGCTCTTCAGAGAGTCTCCTGTGAGTTAAGGGGTGGATATCCTCCTGGGCTGAGGCTAGGGCTAAGACCTGATCTTCAGAGGGTCTCCTGGGGCTATGAAATTGGGGTCCCCATGGGGCTATGGGTTGAGCTGTGCCTACATCATCATGGGGCTGTTCTTGCAAATTGTAAGGTGGGAAGGGGTGCTGGGATCTCCTTGTGGTAGTGGGTTGTGGCAGAGCATCAAGGGTTACTCCCCAGAGCCATGGGGCAGTGTCCCACTTCATGGCTATTGGTCAAGGCTGTCCCCATGTCACCAGGCTCTGGGATCCCTGAGATGAAGACAATCCTGCGGGGTGTTGTGCTGAAGGAGTACCTCACCCTCAAGACTTTTGTGGCCAAGGTGATCGGACTGACATGTGCCCTGGGCAGTGGCATGCCCCTGGGCAAGGAGGTGAGGGCAGTGCTGGGGCAGGGTGAGCAGGGGGCCGGGGAGTGACACTGAGGGCAATGTGCTCAGTCCCCTATTGTTCTCTCAGGGTCCGTTTGTCCACATCGCCAGCATGTGCGCAGCCCTGCTCAGCCGCTTCCTCTCCCTCTTTGGGGGCTTCTATGAGGTGAGCAGGGGCAGGCTGGCCCCAGGAGGATCAACCTCTGCCCACCAGCAGGTTTGGCAGTGCCTAGGCTTGGGGGGGCAATGCCCACTCACTCCTGTCTCCCTCACAGAATGAGGCAAGAAACATTGAAATGCTGGCAGCTGCCTGCGCTGTTGGTGTTGGCTGCTGCTTCGCCGCCCCCATCGGAGGTAGGGTCACCCCGGGCCTCCCCACACCCCCTACACCTCCCGCCCAGGCAGCAGGGTCCACCTGGAGAGGCAAGCAGGACCCCCAGGAGAGCTGGCATGGGAGAGGGCAGTGCTGCTCAGCAGGCTCCATCCTCCCAGATGTGTAATGTCCGCTCTTGTCCTCTCCCTTGCCGCCCTGCGCTCCAGGGAGCTCCCCACTCCAGTCCCGCTGAGCCCTGCCCGTAGGTTGGTGATGTGTCTGACTCTTTCCTTGCACTTTGCCTGCTGCCCTATCTGTCTGTTTGTCTATCTGTGTGCACCCCACACCATCCCAGTGGCGCCCCTCATCCCTGTGCTACCCTCTCGCTCATGCAGACTCGTGCTTGGCCCGCTGTGCTGTGTCCCTTGTGCCCAGCTGGCACCAGCCACGTGCTTTGCCAGGGAAGCCCTTGAACCACCCTGTAGTGTGTCCATGGGGCAGCCAGACCTCCATGGGCTGTGCACGAGTGTGGACTCAGGGTGGGAAGCATGCCAGGCACCGGGGGCCTGCCTAGGTTTCTCCACCTCCCTTGTGCACTTTCCCCCAATGCCAGGCGTCCTGTTCAGCATCGAGGTCACCTCCACCTTCTTTGCCGTCCGCAACTACTGGCGCGGCTTCTTCGCTGCCACCTTCAGTGCCTTCATCTTCCGTGTCCTTGCTGTCTGGAACAAGGATGAAGGTACCTCAGGCAGGGTGAGGGCACAGGGGTCCCCTGCCCAGCCCTACTGACCCCCACCATCCCCCAGAGACAATCACGGCGCTGTTCAAAACCCGCTTCCGCCTCGACTTCCCCTTCGACCTGCAGGAGCTGCCTGCCTTTGCCGTCATCGGGTGAGTGCGACCATCCCAGCACCCATCCTGTGGCCCCAGGGGTGGCAGTGGCAGCACTGGTGGTGCTGGTGGTGGCAGCAGGACACCTCTTCCCTTGGCTCTGCCCAGGATCGCCAGCGGCTTTGGGGGCGCACTCTTTGTCTACCTCAACCGCAAGATTGTGCAGTTCATGCGCCGCCAGAAGACCATCAACCGCTTCCTCATGAAGAAGTAGGTGCCCAGCAGTCCCCAGCAGCAGGGTGGTGGAGCTGGGACTGCACCAAAATCACCCCCTGCCCTGTGCTGCCCTGCCAGGCGCCTGCTCTTCCCTGCCCTGGTGACGCTGATCATCTCCACGCTGACCTTCCCACCCGGCTTTGGACAGTTCATGGCTGGCCAGGTACCTGCCACTGGGGTGGCACACCAGTCCTTACCCCAGGGCCTCCACAAGCCCCAGCTGACCCCTGCCCATCAACAGCTCACCCAGAAGGACACCTTGGTGACACTCTTTGACAACCAGACATGGGCCAAGCAGGGAATCAGTGATGAGTTCGAATACTTGGGCATCCTGGAGGCCTGGCGCCATCCCCGCTCCAACGTCTTCGTCACACTTGTTGTCTTCATCCTCATGAAGGTGGGTTCCTACTTCCCCTGCCATTCCCAAGGTACCACCAGGAGGTTATGGAGAAGATTTTCTGGTTGCCATCAGGGAGGTGCCAGATTATTACCAGAAAGGTGGCACCAGAAGGCACTGGGTGGCTGCTGCAGGAGTTCACCAAGGTGTTTGCTGGGTGGTGCTGGCATGCCATCGAAGAGATCTTGGCTGGGAGCCACCAGTGTGCCACCAGGGAGGTTCTGGCTGCTTGCTCCTAGGTGCCACCAGGGAGGTGCTGGCAGAGTGCCCCTGGGAGGAGCCCATGCCCCACTGCAGGGTGTGGTGCCCACGTGCTGCTCCACAGCACCCAGCTGGGGGTCACAGCACGGGCAGGAGGCAGGGCTGGGTCAGGGAAGGCAACTAATGGGTCTCTGCCCCACAGTTCTGGATGTCAGCTTTGGCTACTACCATCCCAGTGCCCTGTGGAGCCTTCATGCCCGTCTTTGTCATTGGTGAGACCCTGCACGTTGTGTGGGCACAGTGGGAGGAGGGAGCCACCTCTCAGCCCACACTGGGCACCTATGGGTGCCTCCAGATGTCCCCTTCCCTGGCAGCACTAGGCAGGGGTGCGAGGCCCTGTGCCTGTTCCCAGCCACTCTTTGCCTGCAGGGGCAGCCTTTGGGCGCCTGGTGGGGGAGAGCATGGCAGCCTGGTTCCCTGATGGCATCCACACGGACAGCAACATCTACCGCATCGTGCCAGGGGGCTACGCCGTGGTGGGTAAGCACCGAGCTGGAATGGGGACACCATGGTGGGCATCATTTGGAGATGCTGCCCCACAACTGAGGTGATGATCCCTGGAACTGGGAGTGATATCACCACTGGGGGTGAAGGGCCCCAGATGTGGTGGACGCCCTAGAGGGGGGAACCCCGGGTAGGGACCTAGCCTGGTGGCAATACCTGACACCCCTCCCCCGTCTCCTGGCGGTGGCCGCAGGGGCAGCCGCACTGTCAGGTGCTGTCACCCACACGGTGTCCACGGCCGTCATCGTCTTCGAGCTGACAGGGCAGATCTCGCACATCCTGCCTGTCATGATCGCTGTCATCCTGGCCAATGCTGTCGCCCAGAGCCTCCAGCCCTCCCTCTACGACAGCATCATCCGTATCAAGAAGCTTCCCTACCTCCCTGAGCTGGGCTGGGGCCACCACGAGTGAGTTTGTGTCCCCTGTCCCATCCCCAAACCCCTCACCAGGCACAAGGGGAGGGGGCGGCATTACTCTGAGGCCACTGTTCTTATCCCTGGGCAGGAAATACAGTGTACGGGTGGAGGACATCATGGTGCGGGATATCCGCTACGTCACACTCAACTGCAAGTACCGGGACCTGCAGCAGGTCCTGCACAGCACCAAGATGAAGAACCTGCCACTGGTGGAGTCAGCTGGTGAGACACAGGCAGGGGCTCTGCCAGCGTCCACAGCAGCCATGGAGTGTGCCAGGGTAGTGGGTGGGTGGCAGAGGGAACATCAGGAGCCAGTGTGGTCCCTTGCTGTGTCTGGCAGAGTCCATGATCCTGCTGGGCTCCATTGAGCGGACGCAGGTGGGGGCCCTGCTCAGCAGCCAGCTCAGTCCCCAGCGCCGGCTCCTGGCACTGCGGCAGAAGGTGCTGTCCGAGGATGGGCACCGGCTCTCCGATTCCAGCATTCGCTTCCAGGTGAGGGGTGCAGCCGTCTTGGGGGATGCCTGGTCAGAGTGCCCCCCACCACTGTCACCCTACCACCCCATCCCCCACAGATCAGCACAGAGACCTCCTCGGGCACCCCTGCC